GACTTGATAGGTGGATAAAAATGCCAAATCCAGTCTAAACATCTGGCTGACTCTGCAACCAATAATAATAGATCTTTTAGGCATAATATGTCTTACAGTGATGTAATGGTGAAAAGCAAATATGAAACGTAAGACCTTTCTATATCAATGTAACACAGAGAACAGAAGGTAACAAGAAAGAAATGTGATTATCAGATTAAGAGTCTTCAACCTTTATTTCTTAACATTTTGCAGTTAAAAACTTCTACCTCCCGAATTGGTAATTGATTGAATGATCCCCAAACTGTAGGCAACAAAGAAATCTTGCTCATCCATATTGATTTAAATTAATCACTGGGAGTCAGGCAGCATATACATTTAATAAATTAAATTAAATTAATTAAATTATTTGTAAATAAGTATATTCCAAATACTTATTTTCTATTACCTGCATGTCCATGAAGTGGAGAATGTGGTCGTGGAAGAGTTGGAGATGTGCTAGAGGTCACAATCAAGCTTTTTCTATTACTGGTTCGACAGCTGAAATAAAAACACAAATCTTTAAGTAAAAGGCAAAGATGCACTGTGACATCCACAACATGGTTGTATTGATTTAGGATTCCCAAAACTCATATACTAAGATGGATACAGAAGTTGAGTGAACATTGTTATACAGTTTTAGTCAGGCAAAATGGACATTACTTTAATATGACTTTCTAAGCCTCTTAATTCTGCTTAATTATGGATTTGTAAACAATCACAAAACCATATAAATATTAATGCAACACTTTCCAAACCAATCAACCAATTCTAAATAAGAATAGACAATGAAACTGTAACATTTACAAAGATTGGATACCTCTTTGTTTCAATACATCTTCATTAAATTGAGAGAAAATGAGAAAAGCTTATCATACATTAATTGACCTCAAGTATTTATGAAGTGCTTAAGGAACAAATACAAAGTGAGCCTCTGCAGTCAAGAATAATTTTCTGGTAAAGCTCAAAGACAACAGGCAAGCTGAACAACAGAAGGAAATTCCTTTGCAGACATTATAATGCTTTGTCCACCCCCACACCCCCTCAGAAGCAGTTCCTTGCCCATCCCTATCTATCTCCAGACAGACTGCAAGCTGAGACTCACCATAAGTAGAATGGATGTCCCTACTTAAGCAGAGTTTTAGAACAAACCTGCAAGCTAGCTAGCAAGTATAAAGAACAGCTAGTATAGGGTTGGTAGAAATCTTGCACATGGCTATTAGATCAGGCATGAGGATGCTAAATCAAGCTCTAGATTTTTTTTAAAATGAAAACATGAACACACTGCTAATATAAATGTAGGAAACTTTTTTTTTAATCCATTCAATTGTGTCTGATTCTCAGAGACTGCCTGGACAAGTCAATGCAGTTTTCTTGGCGAGGTTTTTCAGAAGTGGTTTGCCATTGCCTCCTTCCTAGGGCTGAGAGAAAGTGAGTGACCCAAGGTCACATTTGTGCTTAGGCGAGACTAGAACTCATGGTCTCCCAGTTTCTAGACTGATGCCTTAACTACTACATCAAATTGGTTCTCACAGGAAACATACACCCACGCTATTTAATAAAATTACTCAAAATGTTCATTAAAGTTCAGTCTTTCACCTAGATTACTATAATTTGTTCTACATGGAGCTACCCTTAAAGACAATTCAGAAACTTTAGCTTGTTCAAAATGAAGCAGCATGCATGATTACTGGCCAGTCTCAATACTGCCATGTTACACTACTGTTGTAGGACCTATATCAGTTATCACTGTGTTTCTGACAGCAATTCAGTATGCTGGTTACTACCTTTTAAAGCCCTATATAGCTTGGGGCCTGGGTATCTAAGAGACTGCCTTTTCCAGATAATTTTTGCTCATCAACCTGACAGTCAAAGAGGACCTGCTGAGAGTTCCAACCTACCAGGAGGTATGACAGGAGGGGGCCCAACTGTACACATTCCCTCTAGGGGATCCCCACCAATGAAACAGTCCCCCGAGGAAAGGATGCCCCCCACCCTTATTGCCTTTTGGAAAGTGGTAAACATCTGGTTAACTAAATTAAGTATCCATTTTTAGAGCAATATGCTTCTGATATCAATTATGCAACTTATGTAATTCTTTCATGTCCTCCTTGTGGCTTTGCTGAAATTATCTAGCTCTTGAAAATAGACTGTAGCCTGATCTAGCAGGGGTTATCTGATGGTGTTACCTTGTCACAGTTTATTTGCTGGAGTTTACAGAGTTCACAGAACTGTACACAAGTCAAATAATAATTATACAATACCATAAATAAGAAAACTTTAATCAAACGTAGCTCAAATTCAGCAGAGCTGCAGACTTTGTGAAAGCCTGACGGAACAATAACGGCCTGGAATATTTCCTATCCAAGGCGTGCTTTGATAGGCTTCCCTTAGCAGTGAATTCCATGGTATCATGGAATGCACGTTTTCACTATTTTCCTGGTAATCTTATATTTCATCCAACAGTGTGGAAAAGAGATTAATCAAATAGATTTGACACAATTTCGTTTGAGACAATGTTACAGACAATAGTACATATATACCACGGTGAACACTAACAAATTTCATCTGTTTTACAACAAATAACTTTTAAAACTGTTACTGAATATGGAAACAGCCTTATACCAAAGGCTTGCTTGTTCTTATCTATTTTCAAGGACATAATTATTCCTGTTGTTAGTTGAACCACTGCTTGCAAAATCACTTCCATCTCTAAATTACTATAATTAAAGCTATAGCTTTCATATCTAGTTAATACGGTTGTGCAGCTGTTGCTTTTCAGTCATATGTCAATTTTAGACTTGTATCTTTTGTTGCATCGTGAAGAGAAATAATTAAAATACTTGTTTTCATTTTTTAAATGTCCATTTTAAAAAAAATGTGTTGTGAATATTGCTAAGAATAATTTTGTCTAAGAGTAACTGTGGTTTTAAGACTTCTAGTAAAGATTTTTTTTTCTTCTGCAAGCCACATTGCTGAAAAGATCATTCAGACTATTTATAACTAAAACTGAAGTTTCTAACTATCATGTAGTAGATTTGAACAGACTTGAGGTAAACAAGCAGGGTGCAAGAAACTGCTTTGATATTTCTGATCTCAAATATATTATGTGACAATGCCAACATATATATTGAGAAAACTGAAAACTCTGTTCTCTGGACCACGGAATAAAGAATGGATAAATGGATAAATAAATGGATAAATAAATGGATGCCATTTATTTATTTCAGTTTCTATTTATTTCACAACAAATTGGGATTCTTTGGTGAAAAGTGGAGGGGTAACCAATACTTTTGGCCACATTTGTACCTATGAAATGTTATTAGCCATGAGAAAAAATTACCCTTCTTGTTCAGCATCCAGATTCTTTTTGACATTCAGTTGTAAACAACTAATAAAAATTCTGCCAGATATATTCTTTGGAGGAAACAACAGCACACTATTTATACTTATTCATTAGTCTAAAATTCTCAACTGTAAGCATCACCAGCTGTAAAAGTTACTCTGCAAAAAGTTACTCAAATCATTCTCTCTGAAGTTAGACTCTTCATGTTCTGAGACCCAAAACTCAAACAAAATCTAACTACTAACTTCATTGATTTGGAATTATGTATGTGATTGTTGCCTTGCCATGTTTTCCTTTTTTTTTTTCCAAATAAACTTATTTTTTGTATAAGGGAATTTAATGATACCATTTTAAAAATGAAACTCTTCTGTAAAATTTCCTTAGGACTACACAGTTGTACAGCTTCCTTTTATATTTCAACTTATTATCAAGTTATCAAGAATAACTTAATATAAATAAATATAAGCTGTATATGTATAGTTTTGGGCAAGAAGATTCAGAACGTTTAATTTTTCCAAGAGCCAAATTGAAGGGACAGGTCCCTAGTAAAAAAGATGGACAAAGTAGAGCTTAATGGGAGATTCAGCCCAATTGGTAGCAGTCTGGTGTAATTAATTTTTTACTATGAAACTATTGGAAGAATGAACTTGCCAATGGGGTAAAGTCATGCCTCCCTCCCAAACACCTAGCAGTAAAAAGGAAGGTTCTTTTGTGATGGGTCATTTTAAAAAACACTTCTCACTCAAATGAAATATGTCCTTGATTGCTAGAGGCTTCTAGTATAACTTCTAGAAAATGTCCTCTTTTTCATCAATTTTGCTTTAATAAAAGCCATTGATATGTGTCTGGTTATTTCAAATATATAAACTATGGTAATATTTACAGCAACTACAAAACTAAGAGCAGATTTTGCAAAAAAGAAAATGTTAACAATCAATGTTCTTTTGCATAACTAAATAAATACATCCTATCTGGATTTTTTTTCCACGTGTAAGAAGCATTTTACTGGATTGCAAACAGCCAAGTTAACATCATAAAAGGAAAATATTTCCTAAAACAGACTGGGATTATTTCTTAAAGGTGGTCCTGCTTATTTGTAACTGCTTGCTAATTGTGTATTTCATATAAAATCTGTATAGACTGAAATCAGTGATGCTGGAAATCAGTGCTCAGGCCAAAAAGAACCATTACAGAAATATGGAGCAAGTGTGTCTTACTTTCAAAGTCGGGGGAAAAATAGTCAAAAGACCATTGACACAAAAAGGTTGGAGGAAAAGGCCTATGATTTAATTCTTGTATACTGCAGTAGGCTGAGTATACCATGTATATGTGATTTCTTTCTTGCAAACTAGAACTTAAAGCAACTAATCTACCCATGTCAAGTCTGTAAACTTTCAACAGTAACTGAATATTGGACTGAGTTGCTAGATAATAATTATTGCTTTCTGTAGCGAAATCAGAGCTAATTTCTATTTTTTAACACTGCTTTAAAGCAGATACAGCAGATGTTTTGTGCCTGATGCAGCAAGTGGGCTTTTTAAAAAATTATTCAGTTGAGGAGGGGGCATTTGCAGTAGGACACTGCTGGAGAAGGAAGTGTTACTCTTTCCTACAGGATGCAACTCTTCAAACCTCCTTTTCCTTCCTCTACCCAGCTATTAAGATAACTATAGTATTTAAAACTACAGGATGAGTGACATCTTGTAATGATATGCAGCTACAGTTCTATTCACCTTTAAAAATATTAGTATGTATTCAGACATACTAATACATACACAAACTGCCAATTGAATATCAAAACTCTGTTGTATCTCCATCAAATAGTTATCAATACACATATAAATACTGATAGACTTATCACTGCCTTTAACAGATAATCAAGTATTATCACCTCTATAAAAACAGTCATAACTTTAGATATATATTCCTTGTTTCTTTCTACCTTTTACTCTCCAGGAGCAAGGGTCAAAAAGGATAATCCTATGCTTAACACACAGGTTGCAAATTGTATTTGTGAGCTGTACAAGCAACATCACTGAGTTGTATTTAGTTTTTTCCTAAAAAGGAAAGAAAATAAAGCCCTCTTCCCAAAATACTGACTATTTTGGCAAAGAAAGCTTCTCCTACTAATTTTTTAAAAGAAATTTAGCTTGGA